ATGTGTTACCAAGTAATGTATAACTTAGCGTACTAAAAATAATATCCAATAAAATATAAATAAAATATAACCAATAAGAATATAAGATTTTAACGGTACATGACTTTATGATTTAGTGAAAATCTAAATCATAACAATATACCTTTTATTAATTAATTTAGTTAATATAAAATCTTTAAAAATTTTCTTATAAATAACCCCTTCACTTCTAAAAAAAATAGTAATAACAACATTAATATCAAAAATAATATTTCTTTTACATACACATAATACAATTTTTATTACACAAATTTATCAAAATGATCTCTATTATTCTTTTACATATTCCTTCTCAAATTATTCTATTAACTCAAACATTATATCATCAAATGAAAATATGTAATATTAAAAAAACAATTAATTATCGATCCAAATGGATATCAGTTTGTATTATCCAATATCAATACACCTGATATTCAAATGCTAGATATACAACCTCTTGTTGTACAGGAATCATTAATTGAATTAACTGAGTTAGAAAAGAAGATCACTAAAGGAATATTACAAGCAGCCATAAATGGAGAAGTAAAAACCAGACCACCAGTATATCCATTAGCTGAATATTCATTATTATTATATAATGATATGTTGGATATGTGACTATATTCATTTACCACCATACTCTATGAAATGGGTAGAATCATCCATGATCTTACCTTTGGAATGAGCTGTATAAGAACAAGTGGAAAAGTTCAAAAGTTGATTAAGAAAATAAATCCACATAATGTTCAATTCAAAGTCATGACCGCACTAAGAATTCATTAATATTTTTCAGAATATCCTGAAATTTTAGAATATAGTAGATTAGATAATTACTTTGCTCCTTCAGTAATTGAGTTTCACTGCTCAAAAATTTTAATTATATTATTTTATTTTATTTTATTTATTTAATTCTTAATTTTATAGAGTAAAATTCTTAACTCCAGGAGTTCTGTTATGATATAACTTTACATATCATAATTTTATTAATTATTTAATTCTATTATCTTATTGGTTATATTTATCACATGATTTATCTTTTATTTTATTTATTTTATTGATTTATTATTTTTAGAAATATTATGTTTCACATTTTAATTATTTAATACTTATATCAATATTTTAATGTAATACATTCCAAATACCAGAATTAATATTTAGTTTAATACTCGTATCAATACCCTTCTAATGTAGTACATTTTAATTACTTATTTTTATTTGACTTTGATACTTAGATTAATACTTAATATTGAGATTAATATTTAGATTGATAATTGTATTATCAATTTAATGGAATAAAATAATATAGATTGAGTAATGAATAATTTATATAAATATAACATATATTTTAGCTTAAAAAAATATCTATTTTTTTATTTATTAATCTTAATTATTTTATCATATTCCAGTCTTCTTACAAGTAAATAATTTTTTGATTATAATTTTCTTTTGACAAAATCTTCTTAGAAGTGAGTTGTATTATAAGTCTTGAGTTGAAGATTTTCAGTTAAGCATTAATTCCCCTTTTATTTTCTTACTTGTATTCTTTTATTTTAAAGATCTCTCATCTGTAATAAGTGACATCTTCTATTTAATATAATTAACCTCTTGTCAATACCCTGCAAAGTTAGTTATCATTAATTAGAAACTTAATAAAAGAAAAGTTATTATTTTAAAGTTAATCAATTAAAAAAAAGATTACTTAATAATAAACTATCCAAATTAAAAAGAAGATTTCTGAGTTCATTCTAGCTGCTC